GGCTCGAGGACAGGCGCCCTGGCCTTTCAGCTCTTTGAAAAAAATGGTTTTCGCCACGAGTAAGGCTGGAAGCGCCAGAGGGATGTTTGTGGTCTTGTTTAGTTTGTTTCCTGGTGTTTGTCCAGGGCCACGCTGCACAGTCGCTTTCCCCAGTTTGGATTTGCTTTCTGACTTCTGATGCTTGATAAGGAGGGAAAACGTTTGGGACCTGGCAGGGCTCCACCCGTTTTAGCTGTCCACTGTCCTCAAATCCTACTCGACTGTTAATTTCAAAAAGTGAGAGCTAAAAGGAGAGATTGTCTGCTTTGTTACCTATTTACAGAATAGCTTATGTTGGTAATTGTCAATTGGAGTAATAATGTGAATGGGTAGTACCAAGTCTTCTACATGCAACTGAATCCCTGTTATAGCAGGAGTTTCCTAAACTAGCACAAATATTTCCAGTAATTCTACTTCGTAAACATGATTACTTGATAACATATATTGGCTCCAGTAATTGCCCCCACTTCACAATAACCTGATAGAATAACAAATGCTAATTCTGCTAGTAGAGTTTGTGCTTCTCTCACAATGCACTTGCCTAATCCCTTGTGTTTTAGGCAAGAATAGATATTAACAGAATAGCTACACTTGGAGGCTTGCAGCAAGAGGAAAAGCTACAAAAATAGTGGAGTAGCAATGGGATGTCATGCAAGAGGAAAAAATACCGTATTAACAAGTGCCTTCTCTTACATTAGTAGATGTCTGTGTCTGGCCTTATCTCATGGTTAGAATCTGTCTTGGATAACAGGTAAGTCTTAGGGCTTTGTAAACTGAAAAAAGTAAAACTGACACCGAAATCAGTAGGCTTTAATCTGCGCAACTCAAGCACTGGCTCTGTATGCTCTTGGAGACAAATGCTAATGTTGTAGTGTTGCTACCCTGTAACACTAAGGGGCTGCTTGAGTACCCTCCTTTGTCAGTCTTCAGAGAAAGCTCCAGGAAGCTTAATAAGGACAGTATACATCTTCAATACTCTCAAGAAGAAAACAGATTCCAGAACGGTTCTTGCATGTTTTGCAATTATTTATTTATTTACCATGTTTCAGGCAGCAGCTGTACGTGATCTAGCCAGGCATCTTTTCTGTGGAGAATCTGAGAGCTGACATTTAGAGTGATATTCTCCCTGTTTATTTTATGTAATAATTCCTGGTGAGTTTATCTGCCTGCATTTTAGTCCTGTTTGAACCTCTGTACGTTTTTTGTCTCTGCACAATCCTGTAGCAGCAAGTTGCATTAGACTTTGTGTGACACACGAATTTTTATTTTAAACTTATTGTCTGCTTATATCAGTAGTCTGCTCAAGTGTAAGATAGTGAGTAATTTTCCCTGTTAATCTTCTGCAAACTATTAATGACTGCAATTGTTTTCATAATATGATTCTTACTCTTTCCACCCCATCATCTCCCTTTCTTGCTCTTTTGCTGTGTGGAACCACGTTTTTCCTCTCTCCGTACGTGCTTTCTTATGCCTGTGCTGCCTGCTCAGGCAGGGTAACCAGAACTGTAGTACAGCCATGCAAGATGTAAGCATGTTGTGTGTGTATACGCTACCATGTTAATGTATACTTTCCTGTGTTTCTGTATCTTGCCTAACAATTCATCAGTTAAAAAGACAAACCACTTTTTAATGAAGAGAATGAACAGTTACTAATCCAGATGCCCATTTAGAGCCCAATCCGCAGGGGCTCCAGAATGTCTTCTCTAGTTCTGTATGCCTGCAATTACTGTGTTCTTATAATATTTACTCACTGTGTGTCGCTTTGCATTTACCATTATTAAATTTCTTCTTCTATAAGTCGTTCAAGATCATGATTCTTTATGCAACTCTTCACGGTTTTCTCAGTAGTCTTGTGTCATCAGTGAATTCTGTCACTTTGCGCATCCCTTTTTGTAGTGACTTATGAATGTGTCAAGGAGCTGAAATTTAGCCCAGCCCTTTTAGGTGCTGCTTGAATTTATAAGCAGCATCTTTCAGCCTCCCTAGGAGGGTAATATGTAGTAGAATCTAGACAGCAAAATATAAACATTTTCAGAGAACTTTAAAAAGCTCTTTGAAATCAGCCATTCAAAATTGTAGCTGATCCATTCCAAAGGTATTCAATAAATATGGGTGCCTCTGAGAAAAGCAGGCTTTGGGTTCTGTATTTATTTCCGTTTACAGTCCTGAATTTCCATTAATTTAAGGAACAGGTATTCTCATCTGTTTTGTGAAATCTGTATTAGCTTTTCAAATGTCTTTTGAGGGGAATTCTTATAGTTAAAATGCTGTCCAGTTACTTGATTAAGTAATGTTTGATAGGACACAACTATCATCTACTTTTATTTGTCTGTAACTTGCTAAAAAATTATTTTCTGTTCATAGCTCTGCTCTTAAGACATTTTAGCCATGACTAAGAGAGATGCAGAGGAGCTGATAGAAATAGAAATTGATGGAACTGAGAAACAAGAATGCACTGAAGAAAGGTATGTACTGTCTTTGCTGTTTGGGTCATTGTATTTTAACTGACTTTTTTTTTTTCTTTAGTTGGTTTCAGATTTATGACTGCACATACTAAGTTTAGTTATTCAGATTTCTTATTTAGTTATTCCGTAGTGCTTCAGAGATGGCCAGTGTTAAGAAATAACTGTTTTCTAGCTAGGCAAAAAGTAGCCTTATGCTGGCAGAAGTAACTGGGTCAGTATGATCTCCACACTCCTGCTTTTGATTTTATCCAGCAAGAAAGCTGAAAAGCTGTGGAAACAAAGTTCTCCATTTTGTGTGTGCTCTCTTCTATTCTTAAGTTTCTTATCTAATTAAATAGTGGTTTTCTTGAAGTAGAAATGTAGCCATTATAGGAAAGCAATATACGGCATTGCCATCATCTTAGCTGCTTGAATCTCAAAGCACTTTCTCTTGCCGCGTTCTTCATAGTTCTTTCCCCTAACTTTAATGTCTGTAGGAATGTGTCTGTATGTACTTGCTGTGAACCTTATAGCTCCAGCATATACTTCCGTAAGTGAAATGAACTTTTCAATTTCTCCAGTTAATTGCTTTACTCTTACTCAGGGTCATTTTTTCTGTAGGATAGAAATGATATTCTCTATATATTAGAGATTATCAGGTCTATTGAAACTATAGATACTGAAGTCTGATGTTCTTTGCCTTATTTACCTCAACCTAGTTTTTCTTCCTACTGCTTTATTCTTAATTCTCACACTGTTTTTGAAAGCTTGGAGAGGCAGTTAATGCATTGGGAGGAGATAGCTGAAGCTGTAGATGACTTACTCTTTGACTTGTTTTGGAAAACTAATTCCGAACCATTTATTAGTTTCTCCTTATCCTCAGCTCATCACATATTTTTAGTTCTTACAGACTGGCTCTATCCATATACTTTCTAATTTCCCTCAGTGTAAGTTTAAGAAGGCCATGGTTGTTGTTAGGATATGAGTCCCATAACATTGAGATTTCTGAATGCCTGTGCCAATATTGTAGTCATTTTAATGCATGACAGCCATAGCATGTCACTAATGTTTTTTTCAAGGATACAAGTTACTTTAGCGCCTTCTGCTTGTCACTTGTGTGCATAAGCTTGCGCTGAGTGGTTAAAAGATGCAGATGATTATTCTGCATGACAGGGGGTATCTTTCTCTCTCTTTGTTCCCTACCTGGCAGTCATCATTCATTAATCAGTCACTTAGTAGGTGACTAGCTTCTTTACTTGAAATATCTCCCCCCTTCACTTGTGTCAAGGTTGGGCTGAGTTTGCTGTGTGCCAGCTGCTTTGCATATTACAACTTTAACAGTTATGCTGTGTTAATATCTGAATATGATTTCTCCTGAAGCCCATATACCCTCCATGTAGACTAATGAATACATTACTGGCAAGAATTTAAAATTTAAGCCTAATTTGAAAGTTTAAGCCCTTTCTTTCGGCACAGAGGCAAATGACGTTACTCCTGCCTTTTGACTGTACTTATCTGTTGTTCCAGTCTCTGTCAGCTGTTAGATTTTCTCTTTGATCTTTCTTGGGCCAGTCTTCACTGTTTATTCCTTCCCCCCCCCCCAGGTCTTAGTTTATCCTATTATTTTCTTAAGAAGTTCTGCTTTCAGCACTGTCTTCCATGTTCAGACACCTCTTTCCAAGTGTCATGGAAACGTCCCATTCTAAAGTTCTACTCCTTTCCTGTGTAAAGTTTTCTATTTTTAATAGAAAAAGTAAGTTATCGTATGAAGTGCATTTCTGCGTTCACTGAGGGTTTCACTAGTGCCAATGAGGCCTAGATTTATTTAATCACTCCATATAGAATTTGTTATAGCACTTAGACTTTAAAAAGTCCCAATTGGAGACATCAGTCCTAAAATATTGAATTTTCAGGTAATCTGGCATGTACCTCGTGATTATGCATGTTATTAGTGATCTCTCTGGCTAGCTTATTGCAGCCTGAAAAATTGATCTTAAAAGCAAACTGCAGAGCTGAGTGTGGCCTAACTTTAGACTGCAGAGACTTGAAGAGAGAAGAAAGAGAAGTGTGCATCCAAGAGGTTATTGTGCAGATATATTTACCTTGGGAAAATTTTCTTTTGTCAGCCCTATCCCAAGCTTTCTGCCTAAGTATTTAGTGAATTGCTTAGTCCGTTCTTCAGTTACCCCAGTTAGAAAGCTGGTCTTTGTCTGTTCAATGCAGATTACAGGATGCTTAAAGAGATCAGGAAGGGACTGTTTCTCTCACTGTGGAGGATGACCACAATTTTTAAAAAGTCACATCCAGTATTGGACAGCAAGGCCCTCTGCTGCACCTCAGCCAGCCCTAGAACTGCTACAGTTCCCAGTGCAGCATTTTAAAAGGCATATTCACTAGTTCTGGTTTTCCTTAGTGGTGGTCTTCATAAATCATAGGAGTCATAACTGACATTTTATCTGCTTATCAAGCAGTTTGAAATCATAGCCTTGTTAAACAAAGTAAGTTATCCTCACTCAAAACATGCAACCTTTTCTTCCTCTGTTAAATACTCTATGTGTTATAGTTTGTCCCTTGATAAAATATAATTGTTTTTTAACATATAGCATTAATCATTTCAATTTGCCAGTATAAAGGGTTTAGGGGTGGGAGTGAGGGTTGCATTATGGAGAAAGCAAAAAGGATTTGAGCATTAATTACTTCAATGTCTGGAAGTAGTAAAACTTTCAGAAACCTCTTGGAAATTTTTTTAATCACCCAAGACATCTTATCTAGTTGTTTAGGCACTATTTATAGGTTAGGAATAATTTTAAAAGTTGTTTACTTACAATTTAATTTTCCCCAAAATAACAACTGTTTACTTTAAGAAGAAATACTAAGCCATTTTTGGGAGAGGATGTAAACAGCACACAAATCGAAAATTCAAATCAGACTTTTTTAATGACTTGCAACTGAAGAGTTTTTCTGCCGTGATGGAAGGAATAAACTATCTTTTTTCCCCAGCACAAATCTTGCCAAAGTTTTGAAGAGCATATAAAAATAGAATTTTTTTAATACGAAGCTGGCTACTGTCCTAGCTGCATAACATTTTTCTTCATAGAATCCATTGTAGAATTTGTCTGTTTATGATCATTAACAATCCAAAAGGAATGAATAGGAAGGCAGCAAAGACTGCAAATGGTGCAAAATGAACATAGGTTAGCCAAAATCATGAAAGACGATTTGCGGAGGGACCTAATAAGACTAGGTAATTGGGAGTCATGATGATAAAGCTGTACTGAGCAAATGCAACGTAGTGCCTAGTGGTAGGAATGACTTGCGCTGCATTCATTAGGAGCTCTGAACGTCAGTAAAAAATCAGGGAAAGACCTGGGGTCTATTTAACAAAAGTATATTTTAATGATATGCAGTTGTGTTCTAAGAAGAAACACTAAAATTTTAGTGAGAATGAACAGAAAACACAACTGATGTGTATGATGCCATATGGATCAAAGGTATAGCTCCGTTTTATTTTTTACGGCTTATCTTATTTTTTACGCTAAGTTCTAATAGTTGTGTTGTATAATTATAATTAGTCATTAAGTCGTTTTTAGATCAGGCAAGACTGTAAATACTAGCAAGTTTGAGAAAGTGATTAATAAGATGCAAGGTGAGATTACAGCGAGATGCAAAGTTGTAAGTGATATTAAAGTATTTGAAGAGACTCCTGTTTATACATCTTTGTAATATGTAGGGACTTTGAATGAAACTAGAAAGCTTTTACAACTGAGCTCCTCCAATGGAATTGTTAACGTTAAATAGAAATTTAGTTATATGTAATTGCTTATACTAGTTAATGATGTAATTGGTTGATAAAACACACTAGAATTGAGCTCAACTACGTGCATTTTGTAAAGCAGTTCACCTGTATATAGGGGTGAGCACAGTGGAGATGGAATTCAGTCGCCTCTACGAAAAGGAGTGACCAATTTCAGTGCTGTTGTTTCATGATCTGTTGTATTCATTTGGTATTTAAGCATTGTTGAGCAAACCTATACCACAGCAGAATTTGTGAGTCAAGCTATTGACATCAATGAACCAATTGGAAACCTTAAGAAGTTGCTGGAACCCAGACTGCAATGTTCCTTGGATGCACATGAAATTTGCCTGCAAGATATCCAGGTAAATAGAAAGACTGTGGAAAAGTACTTTCAAGGATTTGCACTCTGTTTTGAGAAACATTTTACATGCTTGGTCCTTTTCTTCCATTTATGGAATTCATGCTTCATTTGGTGTATACAGTACAATTAAGTGTATGATTTTGTCATCTCCTGATTATTTAATATGCACGCGGTAATTCAGTACCAAGAAAACCAGAAGGATTCATCGATCATGTGGGGTCAAAGGGGTTCATGGCAGGGTGGGGGGAGCCCAAACACAGAAAGACCCTTCCAAATGTAAGAACATCGTTGTATTTCAGGAGCATGAGGACAATGGCAATACTATTTAAGTAAAAACTCTTAAGGCAGCTTACATCGTTTGTTGCTCTCTGGACTTCTGGGAGTCTAATCTTGCTTTGAATCTCTGAATAAAGAGAGAGAGTTTGTTTTTATAGTTTTCATGCGTATAGGTAGCAAAACATTACTCAAGAAACTTTCCATAATGATATGTTCTTGGCAGCTGAAAGCCTAAAATAGGTGGTTACTGTACTGTTCCCTGACTGATGCATAATTTCAGCGTAGTGTAGTATTTAGTGGTAATTCATTTAAAGCTTAATAGAGCTGCCATAGATAAAAGCTTGGTAACCTTCTCTATTGTCCTTCACAGTTCCTTGGAGTACCAGAAAAATCAGTGGTGTGTTTAGCACAACTCTGAGATTTTCATGATTTGGATAGTAATGAAAAAGATTTGAAGTTCTTAAGGGGGCTCTGTCGTAAATTTTGCCATAGTGATACCAGGGAAATTGCTTTCCTGTTTCTAGATCTCAGTCTTATCATTCTAATTGCTTTCACATTGCATAGCAATTCATTTTAAATATTTCAAAAATTAGTAGCATTGCACTAAACTCTCAGAACCACTGTAACAGCATTTAACAAGGCAAAAAGGATGGTACTTTAGATCATGGATGTTTCCAAATACCGTTACCAAAAAAATTAAGGCTTTTAAATTATGGTGGGTAATCAGGTTATTGTTGTGATCTTGTTAAAGCTCTGTTGATACAGCCATTGGAGTTTTCTCATAGGCTGTTCAGAAGAACAGATAATGGCGGAACGTGACTTTCATTAGAGATAAATGCAGTGAAGTTCTGGAGAAGTACATGTGTACATGTCAGTAACTTGCTGATGGAAAAGGAAGAAAGCTAAATTTTATTTAAGTGAACTAACTTAATTAGAATTTTTCAACATGTTAAAAAAGTGGGATTAGAGATTCTTCACCCCGCGCATCTTTCCATAGTTTTAGCAAGATTAAAAGTGGGAAAACTTAGTCTTGCAGAAGAAAAAAGACTGTATTTTGGTGGGGGGAAGAGATGATTTCCAGCAGAAACTGAAATTTTGAATGTTCTTCCCTGCATACTCTGGACACCAGGCAGCAGGTTCCTAGTAACTTCCAGTGAACTCTGTGCAATTGCTGCAGATGATGAGCTCTCATATTAAATAGTATAGTACAAAGAAGATTATAGGTACTATTTTATACTGTGTATATTTTTGTACATAGATATGAGTATACATCACTCATTCTATTTTAGTCAGCAACAGATTTGAGTAATATAATTACACTAAGATTTTTGGGCAAAGGAGAAGAACCTCATGTAATGACAGAACGCGATTCTGAAACGATGTCAGAAAGATTGAAAGATTAATTTGAATTGATGTTAACACTGCCTGTGTAGCAAGATACAAGATTTCGGAGGAAATCTATTTAATTCTGAAGCAAAAGCCAGTTGACATGATTATCTCTGATCAGCATGTACTGGAAAGACTGCAGAAAGAATATTGCTGTTTTCCCCAGAATGTAATTTTTCCTTTTTTTTTTTTTTTAAAAAAAAAAACTCTTCCACCCCACCCCGCCACAATTTCTACGAGCATCACCATGTGTTAAACAGTACAACTACTTCACTTTGTGTTTAGCCAGATGTTTATTTGTAGTGAGTCAGACATCTTTGACCTTTCCAGAAAAAAACAGGGAGAATACTGCTTTTAAGATGAGAATATTTATTAAGTTATTAAAAACTTAGAAAAGGAACTCTAGAAATTTTTTACAAAGTAAGGGTTCTTTCAGCCATTCCTTTATTAATCAGGTCAAAAAACGTTCCTGTAAGTGAAACACTTCCTTAATCAGAACAGGGTGACAAATTTCAAATTCTGATGAAATTCTTGGTGTCATGTACTATGTCTACTTAGTAATAAAAATATTTTTACCCTTCTTTAGAAAATTCACTGCAGTTATGAAATATTTCTGAAGTTCAAAGGAAAGCGTTTCTTGCAACTGTGAAACTAATACATGTGGGTTTTCTTCTGCTTTTATCAAGCTGGATCCAGATCGAAGCCTTTTTGATCAAGGCGTAAAAACAGATGGAACAGTACAACTCAGCGTGCAAGTAATATCTAGGCAAGGTAAGTAGTGAAGTTTGTCTGTTGTCCAGACAGAGTAATATTGTTGGACTGCTTGTGATCAAAATCGGTCCTCTACTCTTTCTAGCAGTAGTACTGAGAAAGTAACTGAACTTTCACGTAGATTCAGAATGTCTTTTCCATTGTGTACCGTGGTTATATGCAGTAGTAATTAAAATAAATATGGTGGACTGATGCTATCCAAAATGTCTTTTCTCTTATAATAACTTTGTATCGATTTTACAGTAAAGGAAAAAAAAAAAACCTGAGCAAATAGTGGTAGTTGCCTAGAGTATGAGGCTTTCATTAAGGATGACTAGTTACTCATACTAGACCAAGCATCTAAGCAGGCAAAAGCTTTTTATCTAGCTGTGTGACAGTCCTGTCTTAATGAGGAGTGTCGATTGTGTACTTCCTGAATAGCTGGCTTACGAGAGTACAAGCACCTGCCTGAAAATTGGTATGAAAGACTGGGCTCACCATCTGTTACCTGTTCTTTTTTTTTTTTTTTTTTTTTGGATGAGTATTTGGACTAAACCATTGTGACAGATGAGCATTAACCAGATGGGTAGGCATTTTTTGATACAGAGTCTTCATTTGTTTGCAGTGTCAGGCAGACCAGGATTTAACCTTGTCAAATCCTCAGGAATTAGTAGCTCTGTTGTGTTGCTTTGTGCCCTGTTCTTTTCCTTTGCGCCCTCCATGTGTCTATGTGAAAGCACTGCAGCCGCTCACTGAGAAACTGCGTATTGGACTCAGAAACAACTATGAGTGGTTCTAATGTTTGTCATATTTTCAAATCAGCAATGGCAGCAAGTTCCTATTGGATCGGGATATCTTTGATTTTTCTGTTTTGAGTTATGTCAGCTGAGCAGATTATCAAAATTTGGGGACCACGTTCGGTTTTCTTGTGGTTTTAGCATAGATTAGACTGAAGAAATCCTTTATATTTCCTACTAACAGTGTCCCGTAGGACTAAGGGTTTATATTTAAAGCCATCAGGAGACGGGTACTAGGTGGAATTCCTATATGCAAATAATGAGGAATTCCTAAATTCCTCATATGTAGCTACTCTTAATTCGTGGCCAGTAGCTTATAACGTGCAGTGCTCAGACTTCCATTTTCCGAAGGATGCAGGTGATGATAAGGATCTTTCAATAATACCTTCCATTTTCTCCTGTGTTTTCATTATTGGTAATGCAAAAGGGAGGTGCATGATGAAATAGCCCAAAGAGGCTCTTTTTCTTTTCCCTCTTCAAAATAAACACCTAAATATTAAATGCTTTTGTGTAACTTCAGTGTTATTTTTCAAGCCCTGATACTTAAGCAACTTGTAAGAAATGTGACTGTTCAAACCAAGTAAAATGTGATAGGGCAGAAGATCACAAAACAAATGGCATAGATACAAATATAAAGTAAAGGAAGTACTTGGATCACTACCAGGGAGAAAGTTTTGACGCTCTGACTGCAGTGTCTCATTAAAAGGAGTTTTGTGTTGTTGCTAAGGATATGGAACCATAGGAAAAAAACAGCTTCCTATGACCCTCCCCTCCCCCCTAGTTCCTTTTCTGTTCTGTGGATAAAGTATCTGAAAGATTCTTCCCCCCCCACCACATCCCACATTACCTTTTACAGAATGAAGCAAGCAATAATCGGTGATGCTAATCCTTGTTGTGGACTGGATTCTCTTATTTCTTGAGAGGCAAACTGCTATGTCAGTTCAAGTGTTGTATCAAATTCTGATTAGCCATCTGTAAATGCAGAGGAGTAAACACCAGCTAGAATATAATCCAGTGTAGTTTTTTATAGCATTTTGTACAAAAGTACTATAGTATACATTATGGCAGATTAAATATCAGCACAAAAGTCAGATAGCAATACATTTAGTAGGTAGGCTTTGCCCCTATTGCTTAAAGTTTTGGTGTGGGGGGGGTGTTAGCCACCCTTGCTTATTTACTTCATTAGAAAGACCATTCTGCCATTCCATCTTAGCTTCACTCTTTTTCTCTTGGTTTGAAGAATGGAGATGCGTATGTTTTTCCTGCCGCTGTTGAGAACATCTGTTTTCGGGGCAGCCTGGTTCTACACTGCTCTCAAATAAGCCTCTTACACGTATGGGGAGATCTGAGGAACAGTGTTGCATGATATGTCAAAGAATTTGAAAGAAGCTTTAACTTTGAAGACCTCCATAGCAAATTTTTTTTTTAAATCTAGATACAAGTTATATCTAATTACGGATTTATCCTACCTCTCTGACTGATGTAACATTAACATTTTGCCATCCTTAAACTGTAAGAGTTGATATTCCAGAAGATATGAATTTTGATGCTGGATTAGATTTTGGTAGTCTATTTAGTCAAATGCTTAGTTCATGTAGTTTCTTTATGGTAGATAGTTTATCTTACCCATTGCTGGGTTTTAACATTTATGAGGAGATACTGTCAAGAAGTTGAGACTAGCTAACTGATTGAGGCTTGTTCTTTTCAATGAACGTCACTATGCACATGGCTTCCAGCTAACGCTGTCCAAAGTTGGGTGGGTTTTTTTGAGATGTGGTAGAATTGTTTCTGATCCTACTTTTAGTTGCTTACTTTGATGTGAAAAAAGTTGATCAGCTTTTCAAGTTGTAACTTTCAGTGCTGGGTGTATGGCTTAAGTTGAAATCTCTTTTGGGAGAACTTCCCCCAACAATATCTCCTCGAGAAGAAGTTGAGTAGCTGTTTTGTTTGTACCGCAGTAATTTTGAATGACTTTCATGAAGAAACACACTATTGCACTTGTGATAAAAGAATATTTTGGTAGAAGAGTTGTATGTCAGCCAAAATGGCTGCAAAACAATATTGTTGTGCAAGAAATATTGTATAGGCAACATCATAACTTATTTTTAACTTTTTAATTTCCTGTGACTGAGAGGACCTGAAGGAATCGTATCTTCTCTCTTCTACCTCCTTAATCACCAGAGTAGAGGCAAGTCTGAAGGGAAGCGCTTACTACACTTTTTGCAGATGAACTATAGGAGACAGCGGTACTGGATTCAAAAGGCTGGAATGAGAGCAGGGAGCAGTGGTCTCTGTCTATCATTGGTTTAAGCAATAGAAGGGGAGAGACCTGAATTATGCAGGTGTCTAATGTGGTTTTACTTTCTTGTTTGTTTGGGTGGTATACAAACAGGTAGTTCAGTTAGCCTGGCTTTCAAGACATTCAGGTACAGAATAAAACAAGCTTAAGCTTGTCAAGGCAGTGTTTGGGAATGAGAGTGTCTGTAGTTGCTCTGTCTGTGTTGAACTCAGTTTCGCTAGTGTGTGTTACGCGGTGCAGTTCCACTTACTGTTTGAATGCTTGACTAATGCAAGAGCATAGTATCAGCAGTTTTCGTTGAGAATCTCTGAGCATGTGTACATAGCTGTGCTATAGGTAATTACAGAGATTTTGGGGTTAAGCAGTGGTAAAGCCTGAAATGTTCTTTAGATTTAGGTATCTGAAGTCTGAGTCTTGTTTTAAGTGTGTAATTCCTTATCTGACTGTGTCTTCTAAAGTGTTTTTTGCTATAACTAGACTTCAATTTTTAGTATGTAAAGGAAGGGTTCGTTAGCATAATGAACCACGTTGATTTAGATTAAAGGTGCAGTTTGACTGATGTCCTGTCTCTGCCTGTGGTCGTTAGAGAACAAAATTGGAGTGCCCGTAGATCAATCTTACCCTCATATATTCTCTAGCTTCAGACGATTAGCACTGAAGGGACTTGTGCTGGGAGCTACATCTAGAAATCTTGATAGCCAACCTCCTTGAATTTTTGTTCTCCTTTTTGGACCTCTTTACGCTTTTGATGTGTGTGAGATTCTGTGACGTTGATGCCACAATTTATGTGGTGACCAAGGAAAATGGCTGTAAATTTATCATAAGAAATAATTTATAAAAGCTTTATAAGATAATTTGTAACTTTTAACTAGAAACTATCAGAAATAAAGCTGCAAGAAAGTATAAAATCTAACTTACTTCAAGGCATATGTGAAACACGTTTTCCTGAAATACTTAGCATATAACGTGAAACAGAATACAGGCTTTGCTTCCACAAAATCGAAAGTGGTCATCTGTTTTCTTATCAAGTAGGTAAAGGGAGAGATTTAAGAAGAGATGCAGACAAATCCAGTGAATGTATTTTAATTTAACATTGCAGTAAGGTAGGTGGCAGACTTGCTTCACAACGTTTTTACTTATAAGCTGATCCGTCTACAGATTCATCACTTTGATCTCCATGTTTGCAGTACGGATAAAGCAGCAGATTCAGTTTGTGATTTGTTTGTTTGTTTTGGCATGTAGCTGTTTGACAGACGGTGAGTTATTTTGGAGCAATAGCGAACAGCTTTCTAGAAGCTTTTTCTGGTTACTTTCTTTGCTTATTCTTTGAGGATCAAAAAGTACAACTTAAACCCTTAGTATCTTCCCTTTCTGAATTTAAAACGAGTCTGTGTTTCATATGTTAAAACCTAGTCAAAACACTTGCTGTTCTATGTAAGTGTTCTTACTTGTTTGCTTTATCTTCATGTCTGTTTCTTCTTCTAGTCAATCACTTATTGGTTGCCTACATCTGTTTTCACATCCTTAATTTCATATTACTGTACATGAGCCCTTTGAGTTTATTTTTTTTTCCCCTCTGCTCTCTCAACCTCAGAATTTTTTGTTTGAATTCTGTTGTATCAACCTCTGATCAGAGCAGCTCCAGTATTTGCAGTCTGGTAATCAAAATTAGAACTAAGTCTGTATAAGATGATTTGAATGACATGTTCCTTTTATGTTTTGCTTAAGTAATAAATACAATAGGGAGCCTCAGGAGTCTCATACTTGTGTGTCACTTCAGGGTAGATTGTTTAGAATGTGGAGCTATGTTTTAAGTGCACTTCAAATGGATTTCTTTAAAGGAGAAAGATGATTTCTGAGCAGAGATTAATACACTTTTTAAATTAGGGTTGCAGAGAGGCAGCACCAGAAGCTGCTCATATACTTAAGGAGACTTTCACTTGTCCTAAACTACTGCTTGGAAAAGATGCTAAACTGGCAACCCTAACAACATAAAACATATTTGGCCACATAGCATGCAATGAATGGTAAGACTCTCAGCAGGACGGTTGTCAAGTTTTCCAGAAAGTGATGGAGCCATGGAAGTACCAGCAAATGACCAAAATAAGGAATACCTGATTGGCCCACTATATTATGACTGGCAAACTGGATGTTCATTTATTCCGCTGCTGCTACGCGATCTGTGGTAGAGAGTGCGTTTTTGTTCCTTTCTTTCAGTCAGCACAATTTTTGCTCAGTTTTATCAGTTATATGCACATTACAAGTTAAAAGCGTCCACTCATGCCATCATTCTGCTAATGATGTCAACTTTCATCTCTTTAGTCTGCTGCTCTCTTAAACACCTTTGCATTTTTTTCCGTGCATAGCAAAAATCTGAAGTCATCACCTTATCCTCTTCTCCAAGTCCCACTGTGAGACCTACACTTGTGAGGCTTGTTGAGTGCTTTCACTTGAGCATGATTAAGTAGGCAAAGAGTTGAAGCTACTTTGTTATGATGCTGAATATTTTTTACCACGTCTACTTATCCATTGTCTGAGGTTCCCCCCCGCACCTTTTCCACTCCATAGTTCTTGACAAGATTGACAGCCTTGCCTAAATTATTCCCTTTTTTGGGGAGGGACTGAATTTTTATTTGTGTAATGTTCAAAGCATCGATGTATGATATGGAACCCAGATGTTAATATAATTTAAAAAAAAAAGTTCAAGTCTTCCTGTATATTTCATTGAAAACAAACAACAAAACAAAACTCTACGTTATTCTTCAGCTTGGTTTTGTTTCCTAAAATGTCAAGTTCCCCAACAAATTTTAGTAAGAATTTAAAGTTAGTTGGAAGATCAAAAATGGCACGCTTCTTGCTTTTGATTTCTTTAGTTAGTTTTGATAATGGTATAAGTGCAGATATGATATTGTGCCTGACAGATCAAACATTAATATTAATGCAACCAAGTGAATGAAAGCACTGACTTAGTGTCTGCCTCTACTTGTCTGTGTTTCTTGTTCAGGAAGGTTGAATGGGAGTAGGGTGACAAAATTTGGGCTATTGTGCTTCACATGTTATTTGGAAAACTCTCTCTGAAGTAGAATGTCAGGAGTAGTATGGGTTCCATCCTACTGTGATTTTTTTTTTCCAGTGATTTCTTTGGGTTTTTTTGCGAGCTATTTATTTTCTCTTCACATAGAATTCATCCATGAAGACTTCAGTGTGTGTCCCTTTACTACAAAGCATAGCATTTCCATTCAGCGTTTGTCTTGCATCTTCAGGAAACTTCTGATAAAGGAAAAAAATAAACCTTTTATTGAATTGGAATGTCTGTAGTCACTGAGTGTTTTCTAACTGACGTTTTCTCGCATTAGTTGATTTCAAATCTAAAAAGGTGCAGTAGGAGAGAGAAGTAGAGTTGACCTAAAAGTTCATGACCAGAATGAAATACCAAACAGTAGCTATAACAACAAAACAGGTGATTTCACCACCAGTGTTGTATTACCAGAATTGTATTTTTCCTTGTTTGCCCTGTGTGTCATGCAAGTTTGCGTAGAAAACTCACGGCTGAATAAACTGTACTGTCTTCGTATTGTTCCGTTTTTGTCGTTTTTCTCAAGGTGATTTCGTTTAAAGGCAATGGAAGTTCTTGTCTGAAAAGAACTGTTTGTTCTTATGGAAGTACTACTTCTGTTTTTCCTCCTAAAAGGCAATAGATTGTGCTTTTAGTTTTTGTGGCAGTATCGCCTACGGAACCAACCTTGTTGTGTTGAGTTTTAATATAGATTAGACAGCAAGGATATGAAGAAATACCTTATGGCACAAGATCGAACTGAAATTGTTCGGGCCATGTAATGTCCTGTGAATCTTGCCGATCCAATGTCTAGCCCTAGTCAAGGTTTTCATAGTCATGTTGAATTTAAATAATTTTACAAATTTTCACAGAATCACAGACTAGTATAAGTTGGAAGGCACTTCTGGAAATTGTCTTGTCCAATGCCCTGCTCAAGCAGTGTCAGCTGCAGCAGGTTGTCTAGGACTCTGTCCAGTTGGGTTTGAATATTTCCAAAGATGAAGATACCCTCTTCAAGGATTTTCTCCAGAAGTGCTGAAGGAAGGCACGAATATGTTTGGCAGAGATCTGTTGAAGTTCGGTTCTTGGAGTTACCATGGAAATGATGTAAGCAGCCTACCTGCCACAAAAATGGAAGGAAATGATTTCTATCTAGTATATTATAATGGCATTGGGGCTGGGGAGGCGACAGAGGGAAGGTATCTGTCACATAGCAGGAAAGATCTTCTAACCAATGTCAGATTTGGTGAGGTAAAAGTAGGGCAAAATGCCTTCTTAGAAGACTGTAGATATGGTAGTGATACAAAGCATTAGTATTGTTATTGAATGCTTTCTTCATTGCTGCAGAACAGCTACAGACATAAGCAGCAGAGCTGCAAGATGTCTTAAGTGACTGACCTAAAACCAAAAAATAAGTAGCTGATAAAGCTAAACCTAAATTCTGAAGCATGCTCTGTTAAGTACACTGCTGCCTGCAGGACATTTGGAGCAATAGTGTTAACTTGGGTATGTAGACTCTAGAGAAAGTGGAGGAATGTTGTAAAGACTGAAAGTAACACCTATTTGTTGCAGAAGGGAGGCAAGTACCCTTTTTTTTTTTTTCTTTCCCCTGACCCAGTGTATTTCTTTTCTAAAGAGCAAGTTTTTTGTTCAACATAGGGGCATAAAGAGCATCTTGTTCAAGATGGGTGAAAAGCATCACCTATCTAGAACGTGAAACTAAAGCACTGGGGAAGGGAAGAGTGACAGTTTTGTGTTCAGTTGTAAAGTACATACTTGAAAGTAGGTACTTCTCTAAGTATGGGCACTTACAGAAATTAGATGATGTTTCTTTTGAGTCATGCTTCTTTCCTAAGTTTGCTAGTACTTACTAATCAGAGAGTTTTAAAACAATGTTTATTTGCTCCATTTGCACTTGTCTTTAAGTTTTGTATTTGTTCTTCCTATACCTAGGGATAGAGCCCAAGTTAAACATCCTTGAGATTGTGAAGCCTGTGGAGACTGTGGAAGTAGTGATTGATCCAGACGCTCATCATGCTGAGGCTGAAGCTCACCTTGTTGAAGAAGCTCAAGTGATAACCTTGGATGGAACAAAACACATAACAACGATTTCAGATGAGACCTCTGAACAAGTGACACGATGGGCTGCAGCACTGGAAGGCTATCGAAAGGAGCAGGAGCGCCTTGGAATACCCTACGGTACTTAATACGTGACTGTGTGTGTGTATTTTTGGGGGGTGTTCTTTTGTTCATGTGGAAGTTCGCATTTTTTTAATTAATAAATGAGAATTACTTAACATTGGTTATATAAGTAAAGTCCTCTGGTACCTCAGAGAAGGCTTCTTATGGTATGGGTGAATGCAGTGCAAATATTTCTGTAAAAGAGGAGGCTAAAAAGTAGAATGAATGTTTCTAATAGTTTTACTAAAACAGTGCTTTTTGCTCCACAACTTCCTTGTCATTGGAGTTTTTAGAAATCAGTTTTCTTCTTATTCCTCTCTTTAAAATGTGAATGTTAGTGGTAAAACTCTTCAAATGTGGATCTGAATTTAAACTGCACTCAGGACTTAGAGGGGATGAATTGACTCTAAAGATACTGCAACAAACTATTTGATAGGCTGCAGGAAGTTGGGCATGTTGTAAAATTGGGTTTTGCATGGAAAGCAAAATGTTGGCTTGAACAAAGTGGAAAAACATGGTTCAGAATTGAACGTAAAAGATGCTGGTAAATTGTAATCTCCTTTGAGCTAGTGGTGTTGCCACTGAGCAAGTTACTAATTTCTTGTTATCTTAGAAAAGATGTCTTTTAAGTGCGTGTTTGAATTTGAGCTGTAACTACAGTTTTAGACCTATATTGTAGGAGCTTATGCAACTGAGTTGCTTTCTGTGACTCTGAAATGTACTGTCAGGATATGTCCAACATATGAAGCTGTACTATGTAAGCAGATGTGCAAAGGGGATACTTAGATGCAGTAAAAAATGCCAGTGAAGTCACAGGTCTTTGCAGGACACTTAGTAGGTAAAAAAAATATTGGCAAGTTATTTTTGATAATGAAAGCAATGACTTTTTGATGTTTTTTGCTGGTCTCATTGGCAAGCATGTCCAACATAGCTTTTATCATCTCTATTAATTAGGAGTTTGATGCAGAACACTTTTAGAGATGTCCTACATCATCAGCAGTCCGTGAAATCTTTCTGCATGCTCTCCCATTAATACAAGAAGAAAATAATTTAAGACCATGTTGTTATAACATTGAGTAATGTGAATAAATCTTACTAGTTTTGCTACCTGACTTTAAAAAGAAAAAAAATCCACTGTTGTGGCTTTAGAAATTTAATGTCTTCTGTGTCATGGGGGTACAGTTTTTTCTAGGAAAATCATACTGGTTTGTTATGACTGAGATCTTTATAATCATAGTCTTCACTTGATATTAGAAAAATATGCTAGAGAATCTGTCTGTCCATTGCATGGATTGGGTTGAAATGAAGCACCACTAAGTTTTGTATTGTGATGCAGTCAGAAGTTCCTGAGAATATAGAATGCTCTTAAAATTTTTGTGTAGTACCGCAAAAAAAGTAGATTAATTTTTTTAACATTTAGAAACCTATGTTTAAAAAAAAAAATAGGGGAGGCCAATTTTCTTTAGAGTTGTATAGTCAGGTTCTATAGTAATTTCAGAAAATGTTAATCATTTTAGCAACCTTGGATCCAAAAGGCAGCGTATGCTGGTATTGAAAGTCAAGTCTGATCAGTAAATAATCACCGCTGAAGGAGTTAGTACCTTGGTACCTAGGTACCTCCTTACATTCCTGCAGGTTTATCTTGTTTGTTGTAAATTCAAAATCAGCTTTTAACAGATCTTTAAAATGTTGTGACTTTCCCTTTGTTATACCTTTTGGTGGTGTGTACCATAGGCTGCACGTTTTCAGCTGTTAAAGCCATTTCTGCTAATGGAAATCAAAAGTTTGGTACCGTTGCAGAGATCCGTAGGAAAAGTGCAACTATTAATTGATATGAGAAATAAAGCCAAGAAAGAGAGCAGTAGAAAACTTGGAAACTGTGAGACTGGTTAGGGAAAATAGTAATTTGTGTTCCTCTGCAGATCATATTCTGTCAAAGAAAGCAAATTAGCAGATTTTTGATGAAAATTCACTGCGTTTCATGTTAAGATTTTTAAAGATGAAAACACTTTGGGTCTGGCTTTTCTCAAAGGATTGCATTGCATAGTTTTAATAGTAGTAATGAAAAATGATGCAACGTTATCTTCCTTTATTGGGCAAAGTGGAAATTGTGGCTCCTAGATAATGTTTATAGACGTAGAAAGTTTTGTGTTCTTTGCTTCTTAGTAAAAACATGTCAAGGTGACATCTTTTGGGGGTATTTTAATTTAAATTATATTTGTTTTGCTTCTGTTTTGTTGACCTTCACTTTTGACAATGAAAACACATACCCCTGCTTTAGTTTCCCTTCCCAGTTCTTACTCGTTGACATGTCTTAATACATTGCATATGACATTAACAATGTTGTGAAGATGATTTTTAGATTTACCCATCTTCTTTTCAGCTTGTTCATACTAATACGACTTGAAACAACAAACTTCATTTTTTATGTTAGAATGTCTTGAGTCAGCAGATCATTTGTTGCACATATGTAGACTTGCTTATTTGTTACCCCTTCTGTGTGCTTCTCTGCTGTGTGACTTGCTTGTACTTTTTTAATATATTTGGTACTAGCACTTAAATGTGCGTGATATGTTCTCTTGCAATGTTGAAAAAGCATCCTTAAATTTATTTGGTTGGTTGTTTGATTTAAGAATAGGTGCACAGTGGGTCCTATTACACTTAATTTAAAGGCTAAGTTGATATGGTCTTACTAGATACCGTGCATTACGTGTACTGTTTTTTATTTTTTTTTATGTATTGTACAAGTCTCTTAAATGTGACTTTTAAATAGTTTAGAAACTGGGGTAATGTGCATGAGTCTGTCATATTTCACCATAATCACATGCTGATCAACATATTAGAGGAAGAGCCTGGTGGCTGTGAGAAATTCTCGTTTTTGAAACTGAAGACACGTGGAAAAAGAAAAATTATGATGATTTGTGTTTTGAGAAGTTCAGCGCCTAATTCTGATACAAAAGCTTTTACTGAAGAAAATTCCTTTTTTTACCTTTTCCTTCTCCCCATCAAGCCACACCACTCCATCAGCGTTTTAAGAGGGGTCCATTTCCTACCCACCCAGATTTGCTCATGGTAGCTACACTTATCCTTCAAGTTCATTGTTTTGTTTTTAAATAAAATTTATTACATAGTTGGAAATGTACAATTGGTAGACTTTGAGCACCAGTACTGACTGGCCTAGAAGTAAGGCTGTTTTAAAAAATGAATAAATAGCAAGACCCTCCCCCCCAAATAAAGCTTAGAAAACGCCTTCAGAAAAAGTTATATAAAATAACAAGTTCTAGGCTAAGCTGCTTTGAATCCTGTGAGGTGATATCTTCCTTGCATTCAGTTCTCGTTACCAGTTACAATAAGGAATAGTTCTGTATCCTCGATGAGGAGGACCCCTTGCAGTATGTAATGGGCGTATTGGCGTTTGTTCTTTCTCATTCCCTAGATCCCATACAGTGGTCAACAGACCAGGTGCTCCACTGGGTGGTGTGGGTGATGAAGGAGTTCAGCATGACTGACATAGACCTCAACGCGCTCAGCATTCCCGGGCGGGAGCTCTGTAGCCTCAACCAAGAAGACTTCTTCCAGCGAGTCCCGCGGGGAGAAATTCTTTGGAGCCATTTGGAGCTTCTTCGAAAGTGTATGGGAAATTCCTCTGTGACTGATTTTACTCCCTCCCCCCTCCCCCCCCCTTTTTTTTTTCTTCTTAAAAATAAAGCAGATGGTGAACGTTTGTTTTTCTTGTATTTCATATTAGCAGTAAAAATGAGGGCACCAAATGCAGGCGATATTAGTGAGAATGCCTACAGTTATGAAGCTTGTCTGTATATTAAACATTGTTTGCCCGTCTTTCATCAAACTTCATAACTTGTACGAAGGAAACAGTGACTTACGATTCATTCTTTGTTTCTAATAAAGATTCTTAGTTTGTGCATCTCCTGATCTTGACAGTTTTTTAATTAAATATTGATTTTGAGTTAGGTAATGTACACCTCTGTCTCAATAGATGTGAATAGTATTAAGCATATGTAGTGAAAGCCTTAGACTGTGCATAGCACAGCTGATGAGTGGCATTGTATGTGCATTAATATGCTTTCAGATCTACCGTACTTGGATATAGTTAGGCAGGCTAAAAACGATTTCCATCTTGAGTCTTGATATTAATTTATACTATATCTCTAAAGATTTTAGAAGGTAAAGAATTGAAAAGATATCTTGAAATTCACCATCAGCTTATCTGTTTATTTCTAAAAACTGAGTGACAAACATTGAATATCTTTACCCGTAAGATCATGGATTGGGCGTGTCATTTGCAAATAGTTATCAAATGTTGTTTTCTTTAACTTTCTCTGAAATACAAAAGGTTTTTGACCTTCAGCTTTCTTGAAGTTTATGGGTTGAATAAAAATGTAACTAATTTTCTTTTAATTTTCAGATGTGCTGGCTAGCCAAGAACACTCTGGAGAAATAGCAACTGTTACTATTGATCAGCGTGAGTAGACCGTTGATTTGCACAATTAACTGTTAGTGGAATCCCTTGGATTCAGCACTGTGGTGTTACAAGATTTAGGGAAAACACTGGAGAGAATAGTTTTCTTTTGTGGAGAGAACAGTGTATTTTAAGCTTCAAAGCAAAACTTTAGGTTTAAGGTGTTTTGTTACTGGCTGAAAGGTTCAGTATAACCTAAACTATGAAAGTCTGTAGTTTTCATTTTGGATTATAGGTTTTCCATTCTGTTTTGTAGTTGTGATGAAAAGTATTAGTCTTTAGCAACTGAAGTTACTATGTTCTGTTTACATATAAATATAAGATGTCTTGGGTGTATATCTGAGACTTTGAATGGTTTGGTGTTTCTTCTGTGTTACATATTGCATTAAAGAATAGCTATATTAAAATGTTTTGATGTTTAGAAGAAAACCTTTTCAAAAATTGGAAAAGAACCTAAAAGAGAGGACTGACTTAGGACTGGTACAAGAGAAAATTGTGTGAAGGTAGTTTTCAAGTTACTTGAAACTCATTCTTCTAGTTGCCATAAGATACCATCCATTAGTAAAATGAATCTATTTGTAAACAGCTTATGTACAGTATAGATAAGTCATCTGTCACATCCTTGGCGTGTGTCTAGTTAAAGTCATTTAGAGTGGGGACATTGCACCCTCTTACACCATTGCAGTAGAAGGTTATTTCATTGCTGATTGAATAGCAGGTTTGGAGGGTTGTTCAACAACTACAGAAAAAGCTGCATTAGGGCAGATCGTATGGGAACAGTTTGAAGATGAAAATACAGGCATGAGACTTCTTTCACAGAAATGTGTAATACTCATGATAATAGACAGAAGTTAATGCCCTACCTGTAATTTAGCATCTCTCCTACAACTCTAAAACCACTATTTCCACTGTAAGAGGTAAAAACTCTTTAAATTATTCTTAGCATGATGACTTATTAATACTGCATGTCTCTTCTTAGCGAAGGAAAAAACTAGCTCCTAGAGATTATGAAAATACAAATAATAAATAATATATGTTTATGCATCTGATGTTTCTCTGCCAGCAATTTATAATTGATGTTTTGCAATGTTTTCTGCTTTACAGCTGTGCAAATTATCCCAGCATCTGTACAGCCTGCTACGCCAACCACCATTAAAGTAATAAACAGCAGCGCAAAGGCAGCTAAAGTACAGAGAGCTCCAAGGATCTCTGGGGAAGATAGAAGTTCCCCTGGGAATAGAACAGGTATTGTCTCCCTTATTTTGAAATGCAAAGGCAGTAGACACTTAACTTAATTTGAATTACAGATTTGCAGGACACACATCTGTCACTTTGGATACGATGGTTGTAGAAAAAATCCACGTGGTACAAAGAAAATGTATCTACAAAGTATAGCACAGGCATGTGCAAACCTAACAGGGTGGTTAGCTCACATAAGCACTGTGCTAAGGTGCTTTTGAGCTGCTGAGTCCTTTTGAGTCCTGCTGAGTTGGAGCAGGTGGAACTAGCCTAAGTGCTATACAGTAGATGAGATGGAAAAAATGGTCTGTCTCTTCCTATCATTAAACAGTCTGTCCTCTCAAGCCACTCTACAGTATTACTCAAGCTTGTAACATCTTTCTACTTTTGTTTGCAGAAGGGGAGAAAATAAACTGTACATTGCAGAATCCTAGCCTAGCCCACTACTGGATGTGTTTGGCTTTTTTCCGCCCCCCCCCCCGCCCCACTCCTGTTGGCGACCTCAGAATTTAGCAGGTTTCAGATTGCTGTTTTGTTGTTAAATTAATGCACCTTCTGGAAAACTGCACACTAAAACTGCAGGTTATTTTCAGAATTCTTTTTATTCACACATGCTCTTTGATTCATTAGTAACTTATCCCATTGCTTTCTTGCTGTCATTTCCCCTCAGGTTCTCTCCACTCTTGTGAATTGCTCTGTTAAATCCTTTCTTCTCTTTCTGCCTCCTCCCCCCAACTTTTCTTTTTAGTCTGTGATACTGAAACTGGGTTCTTTGGCCAACGCTGACATCAGTGGGAAAGGTGTTACAGGTTTCTCTCTTCAGACGTCAGGTCTGCTACATACACCTCATTGAGAATTTAGGAATTTTAACTTCAGATACTCAAGTAAAAAAGAAATTTTAGTGACTTGGAAGATGTTATGTTGCTTTAAGCTGAGGGTTTTTTTGATATTTCTAGTATTTCACGTAGAAATTTAGAAATTTAAATTGTTATAAACAGACTTCTATGACATGTATATTTGTCTGAAGAGGATTAATCAGCTCTCATGAAATCTGTTCCCTTTTAGGGATGGGCATGTGTCTAAATGACAGTGTATAACTTTACATACATTTCTTCTTAAACTCTAGAATATATTTATGATAAATCTTTAACTTACCATATTCCTCAGTTTCTTTTTGAATCGATTAGTATTTATTAACTTGGAAAATATTATCCTTTTGTAAAGTAGGAGAAATTAAGTAAGTGCAAGTTTTTCTTCTGTGAGCACGTTTTGTGCTGGCTGGCTTTAATGTATTGGCTGAAAATTTTTAGCCATGATGGGAACGTGAACAGGACTGCTTAAAATGGATGTCATTATTCCTATTTCAACAGGAAACAATGGGCAGATCCAGTTATGGCAGTTTTTATTAGAACTTCTTACTGACAAGGACGCTCGGGACTGTATTTCTTGGGTTGGTGATGATGGAGAGTTTAAATTGAATCAGCCTGAATTGGTTGCACAAAAATGGGGACAACGCAAAAACAAACCCACCATGAACTATGAGAAGCTTAGTCGGGCTCTGCGGTAAGAAACTTTAGAAACAGATGATGTATGAAGTGTTTTGCTTCCACTTAATTTACTACTTTTTTTTGACTGTCATAACGTGAGACTTGCGTGTTTTTGGTAAAGGGAAAGACAGAGTCCTCTGAAGCTATTTTCTCCATCAGATCTCACTAGCCTTAGGAATAATGCTTATTTAAAAAAAAAAAAATAATGGTTGACTATTTCAAAATACATATATTTTTAAGTTTATTAAATAAACTGTGACGTGAATGTTAACTTGTGTAGCTCCCTTTCCTAAACTTTTTTTCTCTTTTTGGAGTATCTTCAGCATTTATGTTTTCAGTGACGTGCCAAGCAATATTTGTTAATAGTGAAAGAAATAGAAATATGTGAATACTCTGATTTGTTAAATTTTATATTTTGCAGTTTACTTATGTTTATGGTACAAAGAAGACATTCTTCTATAATTATTTAATCATTAATAGTTTCCTATCTGTAACAAAACTTTTTCTGAGTTTAGACATTCATTGATTTTTTCCTATGGTACAGATGTTAAATGCAGAATAGAGTTGATAAGTAGATAAGTGTCAACCAGTGTTGTGATTCCAACATAGTGACCTGCTATGATTTGAACAAATGCAAATGGTTCAGGCTGTCTTAATTCCATCATGATTTTGTACTTTGACATTGATAAAAGGAACTTGTGGTATTACATCAATGTAGATGATGTGCCTGGGGCACAAAATGCAAGTACCTGAATTTTAGACTTCTTTTTCGGATTATTTGGCCTCTGGAAGCATTTGGAAATTCTTCTAAGTTCTCTGAAAGTTCAAACACTGAATCACTTCACTTTCTTATTCTGATATGGTTAAATATATTTCTTCTGGTGATTAGTTTTGAAGACAAGTTTTTAGTGCCTAATGCTGGAAATTTTTAAGTAGTTTCAAAACTGTTTTTGTCTGAGTAAAGTTGCACATCAGCTTAAGTCTGAGATTTAAGATTTAGTTTTGGTGTTTCCATTTTTGCTTATATTATTTTCTAAAAGGAAGTAAACTGCTCATCTAACATTTAAAAATATAGATTTGTCTTTAAATATAGCTTGATTAGAAACTAAAGTTTCTGTACATTAGTTTTCTTCTAAGGAGGATTTAAATAATATTTATATGCGTCACACTGAATACAATGCTTTCACTGAGGGAGACGGAAGCCTTTAAAACCGTGAATGGCATAGAGTCAGTAAGGAATTGACTGCTCGCTATCTCATGCAAGACACAAAAGAATTTGGGGCATCAAAAGAAACTAGCTGGTGGCAGATTCGAGGAGGCAAACAAAAAGATATTGTTAAGTTATGAAACTCCTTGAGACACAGTGTTGTGGGTGCCAAATGTGTTTTATGAGTTTCGGATGAGAGTGGACAAATTAATGGAAAAAGAAATCCTTTAGGTATGAAATATAGAAAGGTGCATCACGTGGAAGTTTGAGCTACTCATCTTTGGAAGCAAGGAAGAGTATCGTTACTCTTCTTACTCTACTTGCATACTTTTTTTTTTTTTTTAGACCTGTTGGAGACAGGATACTGTTCTAGACAGACCTTTAGTCTGACCTTGTATGCCTGTTCTTACATTCTTAATATTTATTATATTAGATTGTTATTCCCTTCCATAGGACCACAGAGTCACGCAGGCAGGAAGGTCCACCAGGAGGTCTCCAGCCTCCTGCCCAAAGCAAGGCCAGCTCTGGGGTCAGATCAGGCTGCTCAGGGCTGTTCCCAGGCAGACCTTGAAAACCCCGAGGATGGAGCCTGCACAACCTTGCTGGGCAACCTGCCACTGCCTGCCTGCCCTTGTGGGAAAAAGGTTTTACTTATGTCCAGCCTGAACATCTCTCGTTTCAGTTTATGCCTGTTGTTTTTTATCTTCCTGCTGTGCACCACCATGCAGACTGGCTCTTTCTTCTTGATGACTTCCCCATGGATACTAGGAGAGCAGCTATTAGGCCCCCCTGCAGCCATCCCTTCTCCAGGCTGAAAAAGCCCCATCCCCTCAGCCTCTCTTCACAGGGCAAGTGCTTCAGCCCCAGCCATCGTGAGGGTCCTTTGCTGATCTCTCTTCAGCTTATCTATGTCTATCTTGTACTGAGGGACCCAAAACTGGAGACAGTATTCTAGATGTGCTGTCATGAGTGCCGAGTAAAAGGGGATAATGCCTTCCCTCCATCTCCTGGCTCTGCTCCTGCATATGCAGCCCAGGATGCTGCTGGCCATCTTTGCTGCCAGGGCCGCTGCTAGCTCACGGTCAGCTTGATGTAGGCCCAGACCCCAAGGCCTTTCCAGCAGAGCTGCTCCCCAGTCAGCCAGTTCCCAGCCTGTATCTTTGCAGTGTTATTCCCGTATTTCCAGCGTGTTTTACTGGATTTGTGCAGTTGTGTCCTGAAGGTATATATGCAAAATTTCTGGAACATCAAAATCGTATACATGATTTTGTAATGTTCTTTTTTTTTTTTTTGTCAACAAACTATGCAGAAGATCTCAAAGGCAGCTGAAGAAATGAGGAATAATATTCTTATCACTGAGATATTAAGCAGATGTCTGCACAGTAATTTGCATAAATCACTATTAGAGAAGTTTTGCATTTATATTTTAGTTGCAGAATCACAGAAGTCACATTCTTCAAAATCTTGCTATTTTGGCAGCTGCGTCAATATTGACATATTTTTCTAACGCTTGAGTGTCTGAAGGGATATTTAATGCCACTTGCTACTATTGAGATAAACACTGTTGTCAATCTAAACTTTTATTAAAACAAAAATGGTAATGTAAATATTTTTTTTTACTGATGGTTTGAAATTACTCTGTTAATTTTGATCAATACAGAAAATAATGTTGTTGAGAAAGATGCTAGATTTTCTGCCCAGCTTTAGGAAACTAGGCAGTTACTACTTGATAAGTATAAGGCAAAAAAGGAAAAAATTAAAAAAAAAAAAAAAAAAAAGGTGAGGAGGAAAGTGGAGAAAAGAGCTTCTTTTGATTGTTACGTACGGCTAAGCGTATTTTCTAAATCAATGTTTCTTTAATTATCCAGCAGGAAAGTGATGCTTGAAAGTGAATTTGTCTCCTGGTTTATTCTGAAATAAAATTTTCGTGTGACTTGAAACATTCCATTAACTAAGAATTTCTAAATTTGAATGGCTATTTGTTTTTATTTTTCTATATTTGTGATTTTTTTGAATAAGCAAACACTGTAGTGAGAACTGCATTCAGCACAGTATTTTTAAAATTTATTCTCTGGTCATATTTACTCAATTCTACCTTGAGTATTTCTAGCATAGCACATGGGAATTTTCCAGGATTTTGGCCCTTTGCCTAAGTGCAAGCTACTTTCTTGTGGCACTTGAGACATACCATGGCCATGTTTTACAGAGTCTGGCTTTCAACAAATTCTTAGCATTCACCCAGATAAGCCTAGCTCACGGTTCCCCGATTTTACCATGTATAGTCCTCTTACACGTTCAGCAGTAATTCTTGCCCAGTGTTCCCATGCGTAAGTGTTCTCTAAGCTGTACTGATTTCCCACACAGACGATGCAGCAACACATTGCTCCTCCCTCCCCAGTTTTGCCCGGTGCTGCAAGGCTGTACTTCAAAGCTGAACATAAGTTGTCATCCGCCTCTCCAGGTTATAGAGTTGATCTAACCTGTTGTAACCAAATCTGTGCTTCACTAGGAGGCCGAATGTGGTGGACACGATACAGCAACAGGTCCTTCGGCTGGTCACTTGTCTTAAGGCAGGCAACAAGAAGGAGCTTTGGAAATAGGGCTGTCACAGAGCAGCGTGGCATGGGAGTGGAGTAGCAGCTGATATGAAGCATAATGGCGTGGAGAAGACCACGGAGAACAGTCGAGGGAGGCAGGGGTATTGAAGTGGTGAGGGAGAAGGTCCGTAAGAAGAAACTTTTGTATAATCAGGGCACCCGGAAGAAAGGTGAAAGGGCAGCTTTGGCAGACAGACTGGGTTTTCTTCACCCAGTGGCAAGCTGCTTTGACATTTCTTGTACTCCTTAACGCACTTCTGTGTCTTCCTTGATAACAGCAGGCTTGTCAAATTTTTCTCTACTTATTGTCTCTCGTCTGTCCTTGCTTTGGTCCTACCTACTGCTTAGATCCTGACTCCAAAAAGTAAGAAATTCAAAGGCTGTGGGATTTTCTGAATTCCAAATGCCTGAAGAAATTTGGTTGGATTCTTATTTGTCTGTTTTCCACTAGGCTAGGAGACAAAAGCTACTCTTTTATTTAACCTGACTTTGATGAATGAGAAACCTCTTTGCTTTGCAAACATGTCATTCAGAGGATTGACTTTCAGAGAGTCAAGAATTCTGGTCTGTCTCATACTGTATTTGGAGGATGGTTTTGAGGAAACTAAATCATGTGATATTTTTTCCAAATTTATCACAAGCTTGCTAAGATTATCAAGCCCAAGTTATGTCCTTCTTATATTTTCTTAATGAGAAATGTAATGTGTGTTTTATTAGTGCCTGCAGTGAGAAGAGTTTTAAAAAAAAAAAAAACTGTAAAATGTCAACTTCTTTCAGTCTTACTGGTCTTACCTAAGGATTTATGTTTCCAGAGTACAGTGGGTCATGCAGGCTATATATTTATTGCATCTCTGTTCAGTGTGATAGCTCTTCTGTGACATAATATAAAAAGCATGCATAGTTAAAGAGAAGTCGCTTTTAGTTGTAAATAAAGGCAAAGGATGTAGTTTTACCAGTTCATGAAGTACAGAAAAGACAAAGTAGAGCGTGCTTTTATAGTTGTACTGTCTTTAGAGCAATCAGTTCCCTTCCTGTTCTATTCCTATGCTGTTTCAGTAGCGTAGAAACCAGTGTTACTTTTCGAACTGTTATTGACCAGTTTTTTATATACTTGGAAAAGCAGGGAGAAGAGTAAGGAAGGCAAATGATAATAACAAAGGGGAGACAGCATTTTCTTATCTTAGTGTATGAAATTAGATGAATCTTGAGGAAAAAATCGATTTTTTCCTTGGCCTTAGAGTATCCTTACACAAGTGACTACATAGACAAGTTACAGATGCTGAAAACTTACATGGATATGTATATATTTTTTTATTTTACAGATATTACTATGATGGAGACATGATCTGCAAAGTGCAAGGCAAGAGGTTTGTGTACAAATTTGTCTGTGACCTGAAAACTCTCATCGGATACAGTGCAGCAGAGTTGAATCGGTTGGTCACAGAATGCGAGCAAAAAAAACTGGCCAAGATGCAGCTCCATGGCCTTGCACAGCCAGTCACAGCAGTAGCATTAGCTACAGCATCCCTGCAAACAGAGAAAGATAATTAAGCACTAGGACCTGGAAGTGGGAGCCTGAGGCCTTTTCTGTATAACCAGAGCAGTTGCTGCTCTTACCTTTGTCACAATTGGAAGCTTCTTTTCTTTCTTAACAGTACAATACAATGCATGATTTTCTACAAAGAACTGGGACTCCCATAAATTTGGATCTTTTAACAGCATATATTTCAGTGTAAGTTAAGGGATTACCACAACTTCTGCAACTTTGAGACTGGGCCTCTATGGTACGCAGTCTGGAATTGGTGAGAAAGGTTGAACTGGTCAGTGTTCTGTGTCCACAGCTCTGCAAAATAATTTTTGCAGTGCTCTTAAGAAAAATGAAGTACTTGCAGTAAGCAGGCTGATCAGTTGTCTAAATTTGGTTCTTTCCACTCCTTTGTTCTCTGCTGAACTACCAAATGGAATTTGATGCTTTCAAAGATAAACATGCGCATTATTCTCATCTAATCAAGCAGAGCTGAAAGACAGACACGTTGTAAAGCATCAGATTCTCAACATAACTTCTGTGTGTATAAGCAAAGGAAACTAAGACTAGACCAAACTGAAGATCAGTGCTGAAGAAGGAGATCCAGGTTTAAATCTGGCTTAGGTGAAAAGCCAATTATGAGTATTTCATTGTAATATGTAGATAATATGCATATATGAGGGCAAGTACTTAACCTGTTTTGAAAGACTTGTTAATGCTAGCTATTTAGCAAAAAAAGACAAAATTCCCCCTCCCCCGAGTCAGGGTGATTTGAAAACTTGAAAAAATATCCCTCACCCAAAGAGTAGGTTATTTTGGTGGGGTTTTTTAATGCTCTACTTGTCAAGGTGCTTATACCTGTGGTAGTCAATCCTAGTAACTGAAGACTTAAAGTTAATCACAGTCAGTAGTCTCTTCCTGTTTAGAAACAAAATGTGAGTTGAAAATAGTTTTACAGAGAACTGAAATTTGACTTACAAATTATTGTATAGTCTGACATATTAAAATGTGAAGATACGTAATTTTTATTTAAAATTACTTTCTGAACTTAAAATGATGTTTTTGAAGCCTTATAAACCAAATGCATGCTCCAGAGCCAGGTGCAACTTAAAGTCTGGATGATTAATAGAAATAGTTGGACTGTATTCTGAACTGTGAGGCATTGGTATAGAGTACTTCGTGCAAACTTAGACATGCAGTAAAAAACAGGCTGCAATTTTTAAGCTTCTGTACTCATGCCCATTAGACTATTTCTTCTGATACCTGAAAACAGCATGTTTTTGCTCTTGTCCTCCATGTTATTAAACAATATAAATATTACGTCACTGTGCATATTTTCTAACTTTTATAAATAACGTTTAAAAAAAGCCCTCTGGTAACACTTGGCAATTAATTAAAATGCAAGTGGATAAGGGAAAACCTTTTGTTCTGTGAGGGATCGAGCTACTTTTAAACCTAAGTTCGAAAGTGTTTGTACAGTGAGATTCTAAGCATAAAATGTGATTATACTGAGTAGTGGGAGTACCGGACTGTGGCTCTTGATCTGAAAAAGAGTGGTCATCCTTGCAGTCAGAGGGCAGAGAACACACAAGACTTATTTTTATTTTAAAGATACATTGAGGACAAACCTGTTCGTTTTGAGGTGGATGTTCATCTGCAGATAGTTTTGGATTCACTAGAGGTCTTGCATGTACTTCTCTAGCCTACTTTTTCGTCACCACCACAATTACACTTTTTCTTGTTAGATTCTTTCACTAGCTCTTAATATTGTCTTCGTTCTTGAGCTTTTAAAGCACTCCATCTACTGGGCGTGCTGCTGCCTCTTTTTTTTTTTTTTTTCCCCCTGTTCATTTAAAAAAAATCTACATCTTGAGCAAAAGATGTCAATGCATCTATCAGCAGAGGTCAAGCATCCATCCCCTGTTGCTGTTACAGTAGTCTGATTCCACCAGTTGGCAAGTGTTTGAGGTGACTTATGCAAATAGATGTAGATTAGCTTACTAAGAATAAAATGAAGCTGCTCGTTCAGTGACAACACCTATTTATATAACACCGCCCCGTTACAGAACGGAAGTCCAGTAGAAATTACTAGGTATATTTAGAGTTCATGAAAACCTTTTAGTTGAAATACAGTACAGAAAGAAGAGATTTTAAAATACTAGCTTTCTAAATCAAAATGGACTCTAGTAGGATAAACTAACAGCAAAACTGAAAGGTAATATCAATACTTCATCCCTTTGAACATTATCTTCACATCACAAGTCCCCTAGGGGAGAGATCTGATATCACCCTTCCTTTGTAAATGTATTTTATTATTTTGAAAGTCTTCAGTAGCTGTGATAGTCCTTTGAGTTCTTTGTTGCGGGATCATCTGCTTTTCTGCCTTGTTCTCTTTAGTAACGAAAGAATCTTTCAAACAGTATAAAATTACTTTCCTGCTTTTTTGTAGTTGAGGGAGAAATCTGTGACTAACTTGATGTCTTCAATGAAATAAAAGATGTAGAATATATTGTCAAGAGTTGTTCTGTTGCTGCCAGAAGGAAAACATAGAAAGAATATTCCCAATTTTTTTGTAAAACAGAAGGGGTTTTGCATACTTTTTACTCTTTAAATAAAGACACTTATACTCTGCTAATAATTATGTATTTCTTTTGTGGTTTGCATTTTTTTTGGTAATTTTACATGAAACAATTATTTTCTATTTTTACTCTGATAAAATATTTGTGCATAAAATGTCAATATAGTAAAATAAAAATGTTATACAGCTGATGCCTGTTGGTTTGTTAATTTTTCAGAAAGCCTTCTGCAATCACTTTCAAATGTAACCAATTCAAGGGTTAATACATGCATTTCATTTTCATTACTTTTTAAGAGCACAAGCTATTTACAGGAAGAAAGCAAAGTATTTGTCTTGTTTTCTGAAGACACGTCTTTGACTCAATACTTGGCTATGTGTTTTTACTTTTAAACTGGAGCTTGGTATGCTTCATCTCTGAAACAGCTTTCTTTAATTGTAAATCTCAGAATGGTGCTTTGATAGAATCGCTGACTCAACGGTATAACAAAATAATGCCTCCTGGAAATAATTAAATATTTTTTAGGCTGTTAGGAGTGTTTAAATTGGTAAGGTTCATGTTAACCTACAAATTAAATACATCCCAGCAAGGACACTCTCATATGGGCAAATAGTCCCACTTACCTCATGGGGCCCACTTACGCAAGACTTAATATTGCTCTTGTTAACAGTATAATCGGAATTTGCTCATCTTTTTATTACTTTATTTTTAAATTGTGTCTAAATAGAAATCCTGGTCATTATACCTTTGAAGGATGGGTGAGCTTAGGATACGTCTTCAATTACAACTTTCTCATCTATCTGCATTGCGAAATCCACGATGGAAGTATTTAGTCATTTTTTAGATATGTCGGATCACTTTATTTCCTAGCATTTATATTTACATCAGCAAAAATAGCATGTAATTGACTGAAAATAATTTTTGAGGATATTTCAGTAATTTGTTGGGCTTTCGAAGTGCACTTGCAAATGTTTAGCCTCCTATTAAATTGAGGATCTTTTATTTATGTTTATGGTGATTAGTATCTTGATGCCAGTGTGAGTTCGTTTCAGATTCCCATACTCAGACTGAAGTGTTTACTGGACCAATATAGGTAAGTACAAGCTGAGAGCTTGTAATTATCGATCCTAAGCAAAATCAGTTGATGTTGCCTAACAGTGTTGCTGGGACTTCATTGCCTAATAATGAAAGAAGCGTGTTACAAGTTCCATTGACACAGGTTTATTGGAAGTATCTTATCAGCTAGACTGGAGTGTTTATGCAAGATCATACGCATTGTTAAAGGTAATACTTTTAATGTGGCTGTATCATGACTTCTGCAAGATACTTGGTTTGATGCTACCTGTTTTTTTTTTTGGGGGGTGGGGGGAGGAAGCAACACTGTGGATGATGCTAAACAGAATATTACTTAATAATAAAAGGAAAGGAGTGATTGATTGGTTTCTAGAGTCATAATAGTGGGATCTAATATAGCAGATAGATGTTCTGACTTGGTTACGTAGCGTCTTTATTTCCGGATTAGAGCCTGCGTTATCTAACCAGACACCGAACTGAAATTTTAGCAGCATATAATTTAGAGTATTGACATCTTAGCCATTAATAATTTGAAACTAGGGTTAAAAAATGCTGAGGAGGGAGAAACATGTATTGAATTATAAGTCTACCTTTAATTATAATTGTTCTTTCCTTGTGGAACTGTTCTTCTGGAAAGCAAAATTAAATGATACTAATGGGAGTGGTATCAGAAGATTATCTGTAACCATGGAACAATTATCTCATTTTCCTCGATGAACGGAGGAATCGATTGTGTTTGTAGTTCACAACACTTAACATTCAGCTATGTTCTTTTTGTAGGTGGTATCGCCATATATGATTGGTTATGATGGGAATGGAAAAATCTGAAGGTAATTATTGATCATAATTGTAAGCAACTTATTAGTGCCGTTGCTTAATAAAAATGAAGGCAGCTAGAAGATAACTCTTTATAGGAACCGGGTGACTTTATGTTACTAAAACCAGGTAAAACTACAAAATGCATCACTAGTATTGTCTAACAGTTCTTGAATTGTAAAAAAGCTGTTAGGCAGTAGGTATTAATATAAATTCAGTTTATTCTTTATAGTCACTTTCAGGTTGCCAGTGTTAAAATGATGGTTTAGAAACAGCAGGAAAAGTGCTTGTCTAATTCAGAATAGCTCCAGTGGGGGTGGAAACTTGTGGAAACGTTTGATTTTGTCTGCGTAGTTCCTTCAGCTGCTTGCTACTAATGATCTAAATGAGCTAGGAGTCCTTAACAGAGAAATAAGTAGCGCTATCGGTAACAGATCTGATAGCTTATGACACATTTCTTTCTTATCTTTGCAACTTGCATTATGACCGAAGTGGAGAAATTAGCATTTAGGAGCAGTATTTCTAATATTACATATGCTACATTTCAGGATTCATTAATCAATGTCCCCATATCAGAAGACAAAAGGCAGAAAGAATTCTCTAAATTTTAATTCAAGCAAACATAGAGGGCACTGAACAAACTGGCTCTTAGAAATGAGAAGATTTTTTCTTTGTTTGAAAATCTCCCCCATTTAGAGGGGAGGTATTTGGGGGTGAAAATGTCAGTTTTCCTGCTCTTCCCATTAAGCTTAGCTTTTTCATTTTTGAAGGAGTCTGCAGGAACTGCTTCATGGGACCCGGCTTGGCAAAAAGCTCAGCTAGAAAACATAGAAGTCAAGTAAGTGGGTTTAAAAAATAAATAAATACAAAAATGTAAGAGTAAAAACAGCAAACTGCACATGAAAAATTCAGTCTTAAGGAGTGAGAATGCAAGGGATGAGAATCAGCAGGGATAGGGACATCTGTAGGATGCAGTTCTTCTTAAACTTGGATTAAGACAAAAACAGTAAACAGTCAATTGTAACTTACTTTTCTTTTGCATGAAAGTGAAATTCCACAGTGTTTCATTCCAGAAACTCAAAGCCCTCCCTGTTCTTCCCAAAATGAAATGAACTACCTGTCTCCTAAGGGCTGAAACACATGGCTGCATGCCAGCAAGCCAGCGAGCTTGCCTGTGCAGAAAGCTATATATGCACATTGGGACTTGGATTTACTAATTAAGATCAGTGAAAGGAGGTTGGAGACATTCTTGGAGGATGTGAAATTTGCTATGTAGCTTGAGTCTTTTCTGGCAGTTGTCCACTAAAAACAACTGAGGGAGGTGGTTTGGCTAGCAAATTTGGTAACCATAAACTAATCAATAAGATGACTTGAACTTTATCCAACAGGAAGCTGTAACAGGAGCTTGAATTTGGCCCTCGGGAATTCACAGCCCTACTATGAGCTGTGTAAGAATGAAGGGAAAAATCACTTGTCACGTAGCTTTTTTTTTTTTTTTTTTTAGCGAGAAGTGCGTCTGTCCCCCTCCAATGACTTTTCAGCCCGTGGGCTAATTACTTCTTAAAGGGCTCCAAAACTGTAAATTTCCACAAGTTGTGTGAAACGCAGTAGCTGAGTAAATGAGAGCTCTCTCAAATTACCTTGCCCAGGCAGGGAAACAAAGCAGAATTCAGCCTTTATGCAAACACTATGCATTGCTAGAGTAGCCCCTTGCTGGATGTTGCTCAACTGGAAGGCAGGGAAACATGGAAGAGAGCTGATTCATGGATGTACATGTCAGTACGTGGATGTGTTAGGAGAGAAAGGCCTCGATTATTTTGGAAAGCAGGCTTCATTAGTTTTGTTGCTTGTGTCAAAAGGAGGACAGTTCTTAGAGAGGTGGTAACCAAATAGAGTACAGTACAGTACTGACAGATCATTTATGACCCTAAACTGAAAATAACAGTAATAGCTGTTACATGAAAACAAAGCTGTAAAAAGCTTATAAAACCAGAAAGGTGGCAATAGGGATGATTTTTTCCTTGGACAGAAAGAGAACTAGACCTGGCCAGCAGGTAGAAAGAGGGCAGTTGGTCATTGCCTGGGCCATCAAAGGCACTCTGCGTAGGATTGCAGTAAAACCATCCTGTGTTGAGGGACTGAACGGTCCTGAGACAAAAGTTTTGTGCCAGCCTATAAATACTTAAATTTTATCTTTTTTTTTCTTTTTTGCTCTTTGCTTTTTTCCCTTATCTATGCTTAGTCAGATAGCATTAGGCTCTTTAGACCTCACCATGCAACAGACAAAGCTTAAATGAAGGGGTGCTTTCATTTTGGATTTTTAAGAGAGAGCTGGCTGGAGAGATCAAGTTGAAGGAAGAAATAAAAATCTCTTTCCTTAGAGATGCAAAACTGCTCAAAAATCTCAACTATGAGGATGGAAGTATCATCTAATAGACTGAAAATAAATACAGGTTGAGAACAGATGTTGACTGAAGATGCATGCGAGCGTGAGGGAAGGAAAAAAGAAACTGAAAAATCATCACTGAAAAATAAAAAGCAAGGAAGAAAAACTCCTGATCCAGCCATCTAAGCTCTGAGGAAAAGCAGTAAGAGCTGTTGATGGTGATTGCTGGCAGAAAGCAGCCTGATACTGTAAGCCAAGAGACTGTCTCCTGTTGGATCTGTATCTTAGAAAGGTCACTGTAAATAAACCAGATGGTATTTAAGTAGGTCTTGATCATATCATTGCTATCTGCTAACTCAAACAACCGAAAATTGATTATGTCCTTAGGCATAGATGAGTAAACACATAAATGCAATTCTTCTCTCTCGTTTTCTACAGTGCTCACCTAGAAATATTTCTTTCTCTAATTTTTATGGGCTTCAGTGAAGGATTTTGAAAAAAAATGGTCTGATTAAATTTTGAGCGTCCTGTGGAGGATTATTTTCAATGTCAGCCAACAGGTATGTCTAGTGCATGAATAATCCCCTTGGCCTGGAGAAAAGGGTACTTGCTAACAGAATGTCCTATTGGAACACTTTTTAATGAGGCATTTTAAGCCTTCCTTTCTGAAGCCTGTAACTGTTGGAGAATCCTGTGTTTTGTTTTTAAACTGTGTTCAGCCTTGTGGTTGTAGAGAAACGCTTACTAAAGGGCAGGGTGGTATAATGCTCTCTACTTTTCTTGCAGTTTTCCGTTGCTTGAGCTACTTACCATAATTTTCCTTC